AGGCCAGCCAGTGTGGGTCTCTGTCATCAGAGGGTAGCAAGTCTTGAAGGGATGCTCAAGCAGGGTGTAATAAAGGCCAAGTTGGACCCCAAGTAGGCACAAGGCTTCCAAGGCCTGGATCTCAACAGTGCCAAAGAGATGTCCTTCTTTGGGTGTCATGTCAAGATGTGCTGGGGGTTTTTTTGGAGCTCTCCTTCATCTCCGACAGGATCCACTGTGGGGCTTAGCAGGGCCCACAGTTGCCGCTGCGGTATCTGTGGCAAATGAGGGGGCCCCCCACCATATCCACAACCCCCAAAGCCTCCATAGCCCCCATAAAGCCCATAGCCTCCATAACCCCCATAGCCCCCATAGCCTCCATAACCCCCATAGCCTCCATAACCTCCATAACCATAGCCGCCATAGCCACCACGGCCTCCAAAAGTGCCACCGTAGCCTCCAGCAACACCAGGAGCTCCCGCCGAGCCAACAACGCTGTGCTGCGGGAAGGAGCTGAGGATGGGCCCGGGGAAGGTGACCACCGAGGCTGGGGGCTGGATCACCACCGTGGAGTCAGGGCACTGCCGCACGCAGGGCTCGTTGCAGGTGTCAGCCAGTGGGGCCGGGGCGACCACCCCACAGGAAGGGACGCACAAGCTGGAGCAGGACATCTTTCAGGCAGACAAGAAGTCCTGAAAAACACAGCAGGGATTAGACAAGAGAGTGGGGAAGGGGCTGTAATGAGGGAGACAGGGAGAGATCCCCAAGAGGCTTCCAAGAGCTGGACTTACGCAGTTGATCAGGAGAGTCAAGCGGAGGAAGCTGGATGGAGGGCTGTGAAGTCCTCGGCTCTACTGCCTGGGGCATCGACCAAGGGGATGGTGGTGAAAATCTCACTTAATCACGTGATAAAGTGGACAAGCTTCATGACACAGATTGTGATAAAACACAATTACAGGTCTCCTGATTGGGGACACTGGTGTGGAAATGTTCGCTACAAAAGATGAGATGGGAGGGACAGACCATGACAAATCACTACATGAAAGTCAACGTTCTGCTGTAGGTGATCAGGCAGAACAAATAAATCCTGATCTGTCCTAATCCTCTCACTCTGGTTACATTCCTGAGCCCTTAACATCTTGCAGAAGTGTGTTGCCATCCTGCACGCAGCCATCACGCCTGTCATTACCTCCCTTTTACAAGCTGGTAAACAGAGGCACCAGGAGTTTGGGCAAAGGCAGAAGCCATTCCACTCGCCCTGAGTGACTCCCATATGCCCACCATCTCCCACTGCCCGTGAGGGCTGGGGACCTTTTGGGGTAACAGGTCAGGAGCATCCCTCAGCCTTGAGCATCTCTGTGCCTCAGCTTGACTGGGTGTATGTGGGGCTCCCACAACACCAGCCATGCAAAGAGGAGGAGCATTCTCTGCTGGGTGGGGCAGACTCGTATGTGCGGGTGCTCAAGACTATGGTGAGTGGGGAGGTGTGAGATCGTGCATGGGGGTCATGTGTGAAGGGAGATGTGCACAGAGGAGCTGGAGGGCAGGAAGTATACCAGGATGTGCTCGGCTTCCTTGGCCATGTGCCTGGGAGTGTGGTTCTCCCCAAGCCCTCTCTGGAGGGACTCGATTACTCAGCTGGGCATTGAGACCTTTGCCAGGAGAGGCTGGCTGGGCATCCACAGAGAGCCAGGATGCACGTGGCCACGCTGCCCGTAGGCACAGGCATGCTGGGCACTGCTGGTTCTGGGCATGTGACTGGGCTGATGCTGCATGTGGTGTGGTTGGGCACATTAATCTTCTGCAAGATGCTCAGGACAGTGACACATAGGCAAAGTGAAGGGATTATGGACAGAACGGGATTTATTGGTACCACCAGGTCATCTACAGCAGCATGTTGTCTTTCATGTAGTGATTTGTCGTGGTCTGTCACTCCCATCACATCTTTCTTCTCCAGGGCACTTTTGCATGCCAATGTAGTCAATTAGGAGACATAAAATTGTGTTGCATCACAATCTGTGTCATGAAGCTTGTTCGCTTCATCGCGTGTTTCCCTGGGGTTTCTATCACCACCCCTGTGGCTGATGCCCCGGGCAGTCTGGGGCATGTATGGACATGTATAAAAGAGCCGAGGACTTCACAGCCCTCCATCCAACTTCTTTCGCTTGACTCTCCTGATCAACTGCGTAAGTCCAGCTCTTGGAAGTCTCTTGGGGATCTCTCCCTGCCTCCCTCAATACAGTCCCTTCCCCACTCTCTTGCCTAATCCCTGCTGTGTTTTCCAGGACTCCTTGTCTACCTGAAAGATGTCCTGCTCCAGCTCATGCGTCCCTTCCTGTGGGGTGGTCGCCCCAGCCCCACTGGCTGACACCTGCAATGAGCCCTGCGTGCGGCAGTGCCCTGACTCCACGGCGGTGAGATCCAGCCCCCGGCCTCGGTGGTCACCTTCCCCGGACCCATCCTCAGCTCCTTCCCGCAGCACAGCGTTGTTGGCTCGGCAGGAGCTCCTGGTGTTGCCGGAGGCTACGGTGGCACTTTTGGAGGCCGTGGTGGTTATGGGGGATTCGGCGGCTATGGTTATGGAGGCTATGGGGGCTATGGGGGTTATGGAGGCTATGGTGGCTATGGAGGCTATGGGCTTTATGGGGGCTATGGGGGCTTTGGCGGTTGTGGATATGGCGGCTGGCGCCGTGGTC